CAAATGTCTGAAGAAATGGAAATGTTGACCACACTTACCCAATATTATTAAGGTATTTATCACCTTTACTTTGATCTGTAGATTCAGTGCAGTCCAAATCAAAATCCCACCAGGCTGTTTTAAAACCGAGTCAGTTAAATTACTTGGAAAAGAAAGGGACTTGGAAGAGCCAAATAAGCCAAAGTTGGATGACCACACTTCCTGATTCCAAGACTTACTATAAAGCTACAGTAATCAAGAAAATGTGATATTGGCAGGAAGATAGAAGTACCAATCAATGAAACATAACAGAGAATTCAGAAATAACCCCACCCATACATGGTCAATTGATTTTCAATAAAAATTAAAATGCCAATTTAATTCAACAGGGAAAGGAAACTCTTTTCAACAAATGCATCAGCATAGTGGGAAGGAACCTTGACTCTTACCTCAGGCAATAAAAATTACAACTTAAAATGGATCACAGACCTAAATGCAATATATGAAATTATTAAACTTCTAGGGAAAAAAAGAGCAAATCTTCATGATCTTGGAGTAGGTAAAGACTTCTTCAGTGAACATGAAAGTTGTGAACCATGAAAGGAAAAAATAAATGGGACTTTATTAACAATTTAAAACATAAGCTTCCTGGAAGACATTATTAAGAAAATTAAAAGATAAACCACAGAATAGGAGAAATTATTTGCAATACACATATCTGATAAAGGACGTGGAACTCTATAAGAAGCCAACCCAATTACAAAAATAGGCAGAAAAATTAAACACTTTATAAAAGTAGGCACATGAATGGCCAAGGAGAAAATGCTAACATTGTTAGTCATCAGATGCATTAATGATGCCCATTTTTTCTACATGTTGGGTGCTTTCACATGTTGGGTTCTTGCTAACCCTTATGGCAGCCATCCCCTGACCTATTCACCTTGCCGCACCTGCATAATAATAAAACCTATATTTTAAAACACAGGGAATTCAAACTAAAAGCACAACTAAACACCACTACATACCCACTAACAAGGGTAAAATTTCTAAAAGATGACCACACCAGGTGTTGGCAAGAATGTAGAACAACTGGAACATTCCTCATGCATTGACGGTGAGATTGTCAAACAGTATAATTATTCTGAAAGGTTGTTTGATAGTTTTCTTAAAAGTTAAACATACATTTACCACGAAGCCCTGACAATTCTATACCTAAGCATTTACTCAAGAGAAATGAAAACATATGTACACAAAAAGACTTCTACACAAATCTACTCATAGTAGATAAAAACAATAAATCAAATGTCTATCAACAGGCGACTAGATAAACAAATTATGGCATATCTATTCGAAGTGGATGTGGAATGCAACACTACTCACCAACAAAGAGGAATTAATTACTGAAAAATGCAACAGCATGGATGAGTTGTGCTAAGAAAAAAGTCAGACACAAAAGCATACATATAGTAAGATTTCATTTCTATGAAACTCTAGAAAAGGTCAATTTAATCTACACGGACAGAAAAAATACCAGAGGTTGCCCGGTGCGGGGGGTGGGAAAGGTTCGGGAGGGGTATAAAACAATCAGGGAGGGGTGCTGACAGTATCCTTGAAATAAAACAAAAATTTATGTCAGTCTTATTTATTATTCCTTACTGATAATGAGGCAATATATCTGCTTATTCTGAAAACAGGATGAAAAGAAAAAAAAATACTTGGAAGCAATTACTGAGGCCAGATGGTTTTAGGAATTAAGACAATATAAACATTATTATTTTATATGTCTGTAAAGAACCTTATCTCTGTGTACTTTGTAGTATTATGTATCTACAAAAGTACTACTTTATAGCAGTTGCTGTACTTTTTACATAGTTTAACTGTTACAGCTGACATATAGGCTCTGTTACATATCCATCCCAACTCTGAAATCAGGAGCCTTTTCCTCACCAGCTCCAACACAAAAACTGAGCCAGTTCAGGAATCCAGTATCTGGGAGGATGTCTGCCGTGTTCCCCACGAGGAGGGCTGGAACTCTGAGCAGCTGGACGGATGCCCATGAAAAGAATGTTCCCCTCTCTGCCTCTTGGTCGGGGCAGTGGGGGAAGATAAAATAAGACTGCCAGATGGCTATGGCTCATTACTGCCTGGCAGCATTCAGGGTGAAATGAGAGTAAATTAATCAGCATTCAGGAGGAATGAATGGCAAGGGGCGATGTGCATTGATGCTATTTTAGCACAAGTCAAATTAAACCTGCAGAACTGACAACATGCATTTATCTCCCTGTTGCCTCCAGCAGCCGTGCAAATGATCTCCTGGTTTCTTTATACAAACAGCTGTTATTTTCCTGTTACTACTTTGGCAAAAAGTTCTAGAAATGTCCTGGTAAAGAGGTTACCTCGAGTGATTAATACAGACTTGCACATTATACTGACTTCCCTAATGAAAGAACTTAACGTATATTTTAGCAGTGAGTCTCTAAGTCACCGCTTGTGGACAGAACGCAGCATTCCTGCAAAGCAGTCATCAGATTCGTCAGTTACTGAAAACACTCAGGCTTAAATGAGCACGATGGGCTTGCTCTTCGGATGTTGTAAAAATCACAAGGGTTTTGTTTGTTTGTTTGTTTGTTTGTTTGTTTTTCCAGAAGGGAAATGGAAATAAAAGAGTGGTTATTTTAAAAGAGGTCTGATATATATATTTCCAAGGTCAGCTATAAGTCTGTATAATGGTGTTACACTGAATTATCTCCCCCGTGACCTGTATTTAGGAATAATACTATGTTGCAATGGAAGGTTGATTCCCACGTTAAAACAGTGAAATCCATTGATGATACCTGGTTTATGTTCCATTCCTGCTTAGCGACAGCTCATCCCTGACCTGCTGCATAGTCTGTGGTATCACTTTCACCCTGCCCTTTACTACTGAACGTGGCCATCCGGTGGGTGCCCTCCTGTGGGGGGGGGGGTCATTAAATTAGAAATGCCTCCCAGGGCCCCCAAACAGCCAGAGAGGCTGATGAGAGAAGGGTCAGTATCCTCCTGAAATTGTGGCCAGAAGCAGCAATTGGAGAGTTTAGAAACCGAAGAGGGGTCTGTAAGCCTGTCTGGGACTCTTCCCAGGCTCTGTGCTTCTTTAAATTTCTGCTCTTACTCATCAGCAGACCCGGGTTTTGTACGTCTGAAACTCATACAGTTGGGTGGGCAGGAGGGGCCCCACTTCAGAGAGAAGAATACAAAATTGCAAACACAAAATTCTGAATGAAGGTCAATACTTGGATAGGCTGAGAAAAATTATTAACAAATTTAAAAGCTCACAAACTAAGTCCCGCACATGCTGGAGCTTCTGTCAATCCTTCTTGTTTTTAATTTTGGCCTCCCCTGGGAAATTTCCTTCTCATCATCTCTGAATCTGTGTGTAATCAATAACTTTGAAAACACAAAACTAATTTGAAATTAGGACATTCCAAGAGGAATGAAATGCATTTTTAAAATGCCATTGTATTACACTGCACTAAACAACCACTTAGTGAGGTTTCTCTTGTTCTACTTCTACCGCAGCCCTCTCTGCACCCGTCTCACCGCCCCCAAGCAATGTTTGATAAAGGCAGTGGACGCAGGGTGTCACAGACCTCGCTGCGGGCACATGTCTCTGGCCTGAGGTCAGTGTCCTCAGGTTCCTAGATCGATGTGTCTCAGAACTGTGCTTTCACATTTTCATTTCACTCTCCCCTTTTCTCAGTATGCCCTAGCTATAATAGATCTCTTTACATATCTTCCGTCATGCCAAAAAATATTCCCATTTCAGGAATTTAGTCCTTTCTGTTCCCTCTGCCTAGAACTCTGTTCCTCGAAATAAGCACACAGCTCCTCTTTCACTTCACTGAAGTCTCTGCTCAGAAAAATCATGTGTCGTCGTGGCCTAAATTGTGCCCCCCACCCCCGTCCAGAATCATATGTCGAGTCTCTAACCCCCAGTGTGACTGGCTGTATTTGAGATGGGTCCTGTAAAACAGTAATTATAATTAAGGCTAAAAGAGGTCATAGGGTGGCACCCTAACCCCAGACAGTTGGTATTTTCACAGGAAGAGGAGGAGATACCAGGAGTGTCTTCTCACAGAGTGGTGGCCTTGTGAGGGCACAGCAAGAAGACACCATCTACAAGCCAAGGAGAGGCGTCTCAACAGACACCAGCACTCCCAGCACCTTCTTCTGGGGTTTTGGGACACCAGACGGTGAGGACATACATCTCTGTGGTTCTAGCGCCCGGTCTTCGGTGTTTTGTCACCGCGGCCCTCACAGGCCTGTACCCTCCCTGACCGCCACACCTCAAACTAGCATTATCGACTGTGCTCTTCGTTTTTCTGCAGAGCAGCTGCCACTGCTCAACATGGAACGTGTGTATCTCTAGATGGTGGAGAGGCAGTGAGTCGAGTGTAACGGAAGAGGGTCCGGGCTCCGTGTTCACACCCCGGATCTGCCGCAATGTGGTCCTTGGTGAGTCTGAAAGCACCATGAAATTTTTCTTGTAAAGTGGTGATGATGGGAATGGTGCTTACTTCAAAGGTGTTGACATGAGCCTGGAGTGAGACAGGACTTGAGCCTACCTGGCAGAACTCAGACACCTACCTGGCACAGTGCATGCCTGCTGTAAGTGTTATCTACTGTTGCACATTGTCTGTCTGCTCCTGGTGTGCAATTTCATCAAGTCAGGGACTTTGTCTCATCTGTGGATATGCCCATAGCCCACAGATCGGTGTCTCCCGGCATGTGTTAAGCCCTCAATAACGATTCTTACCTACAGATAGGAAAAATGAAAGCTGGTGGACCATTTCTCAAAGGTTACAGAGAATTCACATTTTTTAGCGTCACTTCCGTGATCATATTTTTTACCGAATGAGCACCTACCTTATAAACCACCACTGTCACATGATTTCAGAGTCCTTATTTCTGTGCTGACTGTAGTACTGGTGCCAAGTGATGCCACTTTAGTTGACATGCACTAGTGAGCTGAGTTCAGTGGGATGGTTGACGAGAGGCAGAAGACCATGGGCTTTCCTACTCCAAAGGCTCCCACTGGAGTAAGTCAGGGCCACACTGACGTTGTGAGTGATGCTGCATTTCAGCAAAACACCAACAGCCTCGTGAAGTCAACGTACTTTATTTGAAACCTGTCAGTTTCGTTTGCCTTTAATTTCTTATCCTGGCTTTGTAGCTGTGTGTGTTCTGATAGGGCAGGTATCAGTCAATGGCACTTCGGCACTTTTCCACTGACAGACTGCAGGACGTCCACAGTTCTGTGTCCTGTCGTTATAATGAGTCATACTTCATGGCTCAGTCAGATGAATGTGGAATCCAAACCAGAGGCCCAATGGGTTCAGTAGCATCGAAACCTCCAATAGGTCACAACTGTCTAAGGAAGGCTTTCGCCCAGCTGTCATTAGGAATATTCAATGGGTGGTCTAAGGGTAAGACTCAAGGAATTTCACTCCCAAATATTAACATCCACAATCACTTGTGCCTTAAATCATTATGCAAATCAATAAAGGGAGCATTCATTATTAAGGAAATCAATCAACAGGGCAGTTTAATCCCTAATGCAATATGTCTGTCTATTTTCATGGGTGTATATTTTCCAATGTATTAATGATAATTCCCACACGTGGTAGAGAGCCAGGCGAAGAAGTTGCTGTCTTTGTGGTAGCAAATGGCACATTCTCTGTGGAACCCCACCCTGAAATTCGGGAAATCAGATGTATCACCGGGGTTCTAACACTCATCTTTATACAGTTTCTGTGCCTACAGAGCAGAACCCCAAGCGCCCAGTTTGGATTGGGATAAGGGCCTTTACTGATCGAAGTTCTCAAGCTCTGGAGCATGTTTAATAAATTCTGATATTTAATCTTTTAGAAGTTCCCAGCAATGTAGCATTTTTTATAAAGAAAAACTCTAATACCAGTATGACTTCTACTTATCTCTGTATAATTATTCACGAAGGACTGTTCATGTCATCTCAACAGAATGCCTGTGCCCTTCTTCCCCTGCCATCCCCTTTCTCGATGCTTCGTATCTTGCTATCATGCTGAAACAACCTATTCTGATCTTTTTTCTCCTCAGTCCATTTTCTCGAGCACTAAGTGCTCATGAACCAGGTCAGATCATGCACTTCCATGATCAAAGACCATTGACTGGTCTTCCTTGTCCAAACAGTGGAGTCCTTAGTAAAACATTCACAGAGCATTCACAAGTCTACACGCTTTGAGGCTACTCTACTTCCACCTCTTAAGATGCCCTCTGGCCTGAACCCCATCTCATTTAGTCACTCTCAGTTCTTCCCTGTCCCTTCAAAACCACATCCAACCCTACTGCCTGCCACACACCAGTTTAAGGAGGGCATCCCTCAGCTCCTCATGCCCAGGCTCAGCTCACGTCCTATTTTTCACAGCTTCAGCCCAATTTCATAACTGGAACTAATTAGTCTCCCATTGCATTCATTGCTATGTCAGTCTTGGAGTTCGCATTACTATCATGTCTATATTTGCTGGTTCCCCTCACTTCCTTTGTCTGGGCTTACTGACTGGAATGAAACAGAAAGAAAGAACATGACAAACAGCCTGCCTAACAGCTGCCTGAGTCTCCCTGGTAATGTCACCTGGTCATGGAAGTTTCTTGTGGATTGCCACTTTACAAATTAGCATCATGTTCAAACTGGAAAAGCCCCGGAGAGGTCGCTCATTGGAGGGCACACAGGAGATATCACAGCACACCACCCTCATCTCGGTTACTCCAGATGCCATCCTCGAATTAAGATGTCTCTTTCCTGAGAGGAAGCTGTCTACTAGCTTCTGCTCAGAAATGCCAGCCAAGCATCTCTAAGACCCTGCCCACCCTTATTATTTTATAATTAGGGGCCCACTTCACAGCTGAGACTGAGTCTGCATGGCCATGCAAAATCCTTCCTGAAAGGACTCAGGAGGCCCTGCCAGCAGCAAGTTCATGTTGGACTGTCCGCCACTCGCCAAAGCCACTGCCCGGTGGGGACAGGAGAGGGGCTTAGAACATAAGAGGCATGAACCAAAGAGGGTAGCTGCCAATGTCCCTCCCCCCACAAATGGTACAATTTTTCCCAGAAATCCTTTTAATTCTTGCAGTTGGTTTTAGCTTAATAGATTAGCATCTTTGAAATTTTTCTGCTGAAGCAGTCAGTGAGAATGTAACTTACTCAACAAGTTAACATAGTTTATTACCCCTTCTTTTCCCAGAAACTTTACAGTTCCCACACAGCCCACATCGTTCCCAGTTAGGGCCCACCTTCTGATGCAGATAGATGGTGGGCCCCAGGAGTGTGTAAGCAGAAGTGAGCTGAGAACACAACTCCCAATGCGGGAAGCGAACTCTCGTGCATCAAGGGGAGGAGGAGGGGCCCCGTTACCATCCATCCTGTCGTTATCACGTGTGGCCATTGGCTCCGTGCGGTTCTCCTCTCAGAGCGCAGGACGATGACTTCCTCTCCTCTGCATGCCCAGCCTCTAGTCAAGAGGTTGTGTTCTAGTAGAATTACATGTCTGCTGAATAAGGGAATACACCAGTGCACCTCTCAGAAAAGCATTCAGAGCAAGACATTCTAAGAAGAGCTCTTACATATGGAAAAAACATTGTTTTTCTTTACTTGAGATTAGTTGTATCAACGAAGTATGAAGAAAAATTCACTTTCTCTAGACAAAGAACATTTCACTCACTGGTGTGTTAACACGGCTACTAAGTCCTTTTAAGTCCAAAATTTAAAAAATGCAGAAAAAAATTCTTCCTACTTCAAGGGTTATGTGAATGTATATATATAAAATGGTGAAGTTTGCTTGAAGTCAGGTAATTTTCACTCTAGATAAACTGAATACAAAGAAATCTAGGCCTCTGGTGTCATCTCCAACCTAGCCAGATAAATACTCTCCAGAATGAAGTGGAAGAATCACCTTTGAATTCCTCAACACTGAGTTACAGAGTAACCTGCCAGCAATCCTCTCAGAGTCCATGGGACTGTTTAAATAGAGCAAAGTCCACGAAAAGTGCCACTGAGATGGACTGAGCAAAGGCCAGGTCCCCAGAAGAAAACAGGAGCGGACTGAGCAACCCTGGTCCCCAGTGCACGCCTCACTGCTCCGGGCGGGCTGCGGGGCTGGCCATGAGCCCTGTGCTGTCCTCATTCCTGAGGGAGCTGCCAGGCTGGTTCCTGCTCTCCGGAGTCTTCCTGCCGGTGGCTTTGCTGCTGCTCCTTCTCATTGCCTACTTCAGGATCAAACTGATGGAGGGTAAGTACGCCACACAAGGCAGGGGTTGGATGTCCTTTCCCACAGCACAATTTTGCAACAAGCCAACGGGAGGGCAGTGTTTTCTGGGAGGCCTGGAGCAACACATCTTTTTGATTTGTATGTTCTTAAGAAAAACTCTCTAAAGATATCATCATCGGTGAATGGGGCAAAGTTTAATCCTTTCCAGGGTGTGATCAGGGCTAGGCTCTTAAAGGCCTCCCGGGGCGGGGTTGGGGGGACCCTTAATGGCAGCCTCTCACAGTCAGACTACCAATCAGCAGTTTCAGTGTATGGTTTGCTTGTCTCTGTCTCTCAGGGAGATAGACTCCCAAACGTTAAAAGGTTTTTCACGTTCTGCTTTCTCCCTGTGAGATGAGTGTGTGCCTGTGAGTGTGTGCACACACTTCTTTCTCAGCCACTGAACTTCTAATGAAACCCGCCTAACACTGCAATGTCTGGCAACATGCCAGGCCCTAATAGGGACCTGATGCTTGGTGTAAACTTTCCATGAGGCTGTAGACTCAAGGGGGGGGAGGAAAAACCCAAAACCAATCAACCAAACAAACAAAAAAAACCTCAGGAAACTTACAGTGATTTAGACGTGGGCAGTTGGGTCCTAAATTGAAACTGTTTGTTCTGCTGTAACATTGAAAGTAATAAAACAGGACTGTAACTTGAGAGACTGTCTGTTAATAGTGTGCCCAGCAAAAAATGGATTAATGTCATAGACATTAATAGTATCTTAGCAAGATCAACAAAACAGTAATATTTCTTAAGTTAGAGGGTATCATATTAAGGTACTAAATAAAACACGTTTAAAAACCCTTTCTCTCCCACGAACACTTAGCAAGTCCAAGCAATGCCTTCATGGATAGTATTACATAAACAGATGTTCAGAATTCTGAATGTGATCACATATGCTCTAAAATCGAAGAGAAGTACAAATGGGGATATCCATTTTTATGAGATTTAGAACATACAAAATCCTGGAGGACAGAGAGTGCATTGTGGAATCATTAAGTTTTCGATCATCATGTGCTCAAATATCCCCCAGACTTTCATTTTTCGTGTCTCATTTTTATGAACGGCTCGTATTGAGTGCTGCCCAGCCGTGGCCCGCCTTGCTCCACAGCACTTGCGTGATAAATCGTTTTCTTTATTAAGTCAGTTTATCCTCCGCTGCCCCAGGACCAGTTGGCAGGATGCTCAGCCGCTCAGCCACTCACTACCACCGAGCCCTGGAAAAGAGCCTCTGAAAAAGGAAAAGGAAAAATCCCCCAACTCCCAATAACAGGGCCCCTTCAGAGTTCTCTGAGCAGGTTTAATTCCTACCCGCTGCAAACGTGTCCATTTTGAAGGTCTTTTAAAGCTGTTAAAATGGTCATTGTTAGTCGCAAGCACGCCAGGCTCCCACTGCCACGGGGCACCAGTGGAGCCGTGCTGGGGTGCTGACATCGCGGTCGGGGACTTGCATAGCTCGCGTCACTGCCAAGTGTCATCTCTAACTGCCGCTTCAGTGAGATAAAATTTTAGTGTATCAGAAATTTTATGTATCAAAATTGATACACTAAAATTTTAGTGTATCAAAAATGTACCAAGCAGTAAATGAGGCAAACAACAGGCCGAGATAACCTCCCGAGTCCCCGCCTTTAACTGGCCTCTACTTATTAGTTATCGTAGGTCACACCATTCAGTGGGACATCTGGTATTTGGGACAAACTACAAAAAAAAAAGCATGAATCTTGGTTTTATAGCTCTATCCCTATGCTCCAGGGGAAATCATCTATAGTGTGCAAAATGTACATGGGTCTATGGGATTTTAGTCTTTTAGATAATTCTGAGGTATAAGCATATCAATCACATTCCTTCAGAATGCCCTGGAAAAGTGAACTTGCCCTTGAGAGTGTGCCCAGCATCCCAGGGCTGATGCTGGAGAAAATGCAGGCAGGGCACTGCTCCCAGGCTCAGGCCCAGCGTTGTCCGGTGTGTTCGTCCCCGTGATCACCGCATGGTGACACCCTTCCACCTTCAACAACACATCCTTGCTGTGTCAGTTGTCTAGAATCAGGTCTCAGACAAAAAGGATCACCTTCAGTTTGTAGCTCAATCCAATCGGAACTCCTTCTGAAGCATGTGCATGAAGGAAGCAGAGGGCCTCACCGACCTGCTCTGTCTTCACATTTCCTTCACTCCTCTTTTTCTAAATTCTTATAGGTGACTGAGCTTTTCTTGACTTCTGCACTTGCTGAATTACAGGTCTGGCCTACCCATCTCAAAGCCTCCATTTTTTGCAATATAGCATCTAACCCAAGAAGGTCAGCCTCACGGGATGAGGGCAAAAGCTCTCTAGGTGGGACCCTTTCACCAACTTTGAAGCTAGCTCCAAATCTGCATTAGACTTCTGGATAGGAAGAGTTCTCGCTCCTTCATTCATTCAACAAATATTTAAGAATCCATTGCACCATAAACCAGGGATTGTCTTAGATAGTGGGATAGATTTTTTTCCTTTGGGCTTGTAGAACTGAATGAAAGAAAACAACTCAGTTCTCGAAAACCACAAAAGGCATCTGGCGAAATCACTAGATGCTGAAGGAGAAATGCTGCAGATCCACATGCTTCTGGCTCTGGCCTCGTTGGACGTCTGGTCAAAGGGCTGTAAGAACGACCTGCCCTTTCTCCTTATTGTCTCACAGTTAGAGTTGCACACTCCCACCAGAGGTAGGATCTTCTAAACAGCTAAGGCATGCCCCCCATTCTGTGGTTCTTCTCCACTGGCTCTCAATGAAGTGTGCCCTGGCCTTCCATACACCAGGTAAGAAGTACGGGGGAGTGAGTGCGGGCGTGAAAGGAGCTCACAACAATCTGTGCAGCAGCCACGTGCTGTACTGGGGGCCCCCTCGGAAGTTTATTGCCGGGAAGAACCCTGATGACTCCTAGCACTCCATCACTAGTGGCCTGCCCACAAACCTCCTGTGGAGGCTCCCGAGACAGGACTGCCCAGCTGACTGGACTGACAGTCTTCCTTGCTGTCAGTGTTCAGCCTGTCGAGACTGGTTCCCAAGCGTGGCAGGGTGGAGAGATTGGAGTCCTGGGCGCTCTTCCTTACAGTTACCCGGCCAGGGGGCAGTTGAGGGGTAGGCCACACTATGTTACCATCTGAGGAATTCACTATTCAAACACCCTTTGCTTATTTTCCACCTGCCAACCCGCCCCAAGTGGGATCTGGGCAACCTTTTTTTGCAGCAGTTCTTGATTAAGTTTTATAGCATTAGCAAATAACCTTGGACTCAGCAAGCTTTCACTTTTGTGTAGATCTAGTCCCTTTTAATTCCAAATTCTCCTGTCTTCTTAAAGCTCTAAAAACATACAGCATTTAAATATATAGTTCTTTTTGTACTCACTTTCCTAAAGGAATGTAGCAATACCTTCTCTCCAGTTTGAGGACAAATGAGATCTCTTGGCCCCAAATAAAATATCACCAGTGTGTGTCTCTATTTAGCAGCTCCCATTTAAAAACTGTAAACAGATGGTCTAATGTCATATCATTAATCTTCCAACCAGGATTATGGCAAGTGTAATCATTCCTAGTTTGTTCCTGTAAAGAAAGGGACGTTGACAGATTAACTGGTGTGTTCCCTGAACCCCAGAGTCCTGCGTTCTAAAATAGAGAATTGGTCTGCCTGGCTCCAGTCCATCAGACAGGAGAGGCATATGAAGATGTGATGGAAAGCATGTGGAGGTATTGTAATTATTCAACATTAATCCCTACACTGCCAACCTTTGGAGGTAATGGTGCACGTAAATTTAATTAGTATGTAGAGAACATCAATTTTCTCAAAAAGGAAGAAAATTATCTAACATCCTGTACCATTCAGTCTGTCAATGGCCTTGAGGAGTAGCTCTTGAGGTGGGGGTCTGAGTCTTGAACTTTCCATTGCCAGACGCTTCCTCGACCTTGAGTGGACATTCCGTGTCTGGCAGGGTAGGACTTTTGATTGCCTTACCTCCCCAAATACCGAGATTCCTAAACATCTGTTTTTAAGTGCCACTCTTTGTCCCCAAAATACTATAATTCTGAGCAAGAACAAATTGCTCTAGAAAATAACCAACATTGCCAAAACTATTCTTATTTTTAAAAATGTGTCTATTGAATGCCTGAAAGCTTTTGGATGGCATTAGGTCCAAAATAAGGTCAGGTAAGTGACCAGGTTCTGGCCTTCCGCAGCTAACATTCTCGGACAGACACCCAAGTATTGAAAATGTCCAGTGTGGCCAGACCTCCCTCACTGAACTTCATATAGACACACTTAGTAGTCAGCAATCACAGTATTGGAAAAAATCAGAATAATTACGGGTTGGCAGAGTGAAGTTGTTAACAGCTCAGACTATGAGTCAGACCAAATGGGGTTTGCACTCCAGATCTCTAACAGTGTCCGCTCAGCCTCTTGAGGTTTGCTTCTTCATCTGTAAGATAGGAACAGCAGCAGGGTGTAGCTACGGGGCTGCTGTGGGCAGATGGGAGGCGACACCTCTGAGGTTCTTCATGGTGCCTGCTCTGAACAATTTTCAGCCATTATTACCCCTGCTGGTTTATCAATTCCAAGAACGAAGTGTTTGTGTCATGATAATAATGTATCATTACAATTATCTTGCAATAATTAAGCAAATTTCCCAAGGTCACTCACCTAAAAAATGGTAGAGTCAGGATTTAAACCCTGGGTAGTTGATCCTCTCACCCAATGCACCACCCTGAGGGTATTGAACATGGAGTAGGGGTTCCATAGATGTCTGCTGAATGAATGAATCCTTCTGACCCAGACCAACAAACTCGCCACCAATATGAGAGACAACTGGGGGTGGGGGACGGGGGATGGGGGACGGGGAAGAACTTACAGACACAGACAACAATGTCATAATTGTGGGGGTGTGGGGAGGGGTAAAGGTCGAAGAGGTATAGAAGGGATAAATGGTGATGGAGAATACATAAATAAATAAATCCAAAAAAAGGGCAGCTAGGACAATTTGAAACAAGATAATAATTTTACAAAAGCTTTAAGAGGATTGATCCATCTCGTTCTATAACATCTAGTTCTAATTACTGATGGTAGTGATTCTTTGGTATAATGACAATGCCCTGGGTCAGGAAGATCATATTTTTCCCCAAAAGGGAAAATGGTTATTCATAGAATTTTCCACAGTAACAAACAGGGGGTCACCTGCCTACTCTCACATGTCTAACCTCTCTCTGTACCAGTGTAGATGCAGTGAAATAAAATCATAACCACGTTGCAAGCTCTCTCAGAAGGATAAATTTTCCTCCCGCTTTCTGCATTGTGCCTAGCACAAACTGTTTGCTGGAGAGAGAACTCATCGTCAATTGACGAGCTTCCTCTTGGACTCTCCGTTTTATTCTCCGCTCTTAGGGTTCTCTTCTTTCGATTTCAGTGTTCAGGTTGGCCATTTTCAGCTTGACAGTTTGCATCTAGTTCCTTATTCAAAGCGCTGGTCACTCAGTTTAGCTTTTAAAATTAAAAGTAAAAGGAAAGAAATTACTCATATTCCAACAAGCTTATATAATCTAGGCCAGGGGTGTCGGACTCATTTTCACCGGGGGCCACATCAGCTTTGCGGTTGCCTTCAAAGGGCCAAATGTAATTTAGGACCGTGTAAATGTAACTACTCTTTAATAGTTAAGCGGGAGCTCAGTGCTGCCACTACTGGGGAGAACAGGTGCCAGGCCAGATAAAACAAGGTGGAAGGCTGGATTTGGCCCGCCGGCCTTGTGTTTGCCACCTGTGACCTAAGCCATGGGCTGTCTCAAGCAACACTTCTGGATTAGCAATGCTCTGTGTGGAAGGGCAGTGTAACTGAGCGGTGGACGGTGTGAGCTGTGGAGTCACACTGTCTGGGATGGAATCCTGAATCCGCCAGTTTCTGTGATCCTGAGTCAACTGCTCCCCCTTGATTTCTCTCTGCCTCCGTTTGTCATCTGTAACATGTAACAATGGTGACTACAGCAAAATGTCATTGCAAGAATTAACTACGGAATGCAAGGGGCTTCATGCAGAGTCTGGCACACAATAACTGCTCAACAAATATTAGCTATTAGACCCCGAGGCTCACATAGCCCAGAGTTTGTCACCACTGATGCATGGGTACCTTCTCCAGACAAAGATGACAATTGGTGAAGGCCTGGAAAACTCCCTGTCCTGGGGCACCTGGCATGTGCAGGGCCTGGCAGGGACAAATTGCTTGGATTTGACATGGGAGCCAAAAGGAACATTTTCAGGTTCAATTGTATAAATATGTGTTATCTTGCATGAGATTGCAAACCCCTGGTCTCTGGCTTGAATAATTTGTGAGTTATAAGTCTGAAAATAAACCTTTTAAGAATAAAAAAGCAGGTTTACTTGTGGTGGTGGGGGGGTTGTTTGTTTTGATACATTAGATCTCAAGGGATGCTTGCAGGGATCTCAAGAAACATCCCAGAGCTAAAAATCAAATCTGCTGTTGCCAAGAGGTAGCAGTTCATCCCACAGAACAGAGAACTCAGGAAGATGGACACAGTAAAAGCACAGGGAGAAAAGTGACTGGGACATGGCGGGGAGACATGTCAAATGCTACAGAGGAAGAAAACCAGAGACTGAAAAGTGCCACTAGATTTAGTATAATTAGAATATAATTGGCAAGTTTTTAAGATTTTAGTGAGAGCAGCTTTCACTGAAGTTACATTTTAAGCAGTTAAGTATGTGTGTTCATGGTAAAAATTTGAAACTGTCAGTTTTCAGTAAAAAATGCAGAAAGGTAAAGGAAGAATAATTTGACATATCTAAGGACTGCAAAGGCCCAGACGCATTTGGGGTGAGGGGAGGAACAGGGACAGAAAACCGATCTTACTCATTTCTATTTCCCCAGCTCCTGGCCTAGAGACCCGCCTAATAAATGCTTATTGAATATGAGGACCTTAATAAATTTAATCCACACTTAATCTACTACAAATAAAACATACTTAGCATGTAACAACTTTTTATTACAGTGCTTATCTGTCCACTCCACCCAGCACCATTCTTTACAAAGTGTTCACATGTCTTTGGAAATGGTTGAGGAGGTCAGCAGAGTTCCTGCACTAGGACTTGCTCGGAAGACCTGGAGTTCTGTGCCCTGCTGGGGCCACGAGTATAGAAATGCCGGACAGTAACCACTGTGACACTCAGCTGTTTCCAAAGTACTAACTGATGTTCTTCCTTTCAGTCAAAGAAGAACTGTCCCAGATTCCTGATCACCGACACAATCGCGAGGCCAGCTCCTCCCTGTACCACCGTAGGAAACGAAGGTGACCCGTGGGGACCGATCATCGGCTCGAGTGCACTGAACCTCTGCTCAGAGAGTGATGGTCATCCACTTATTCTGCAACAGTTCATAAACAAGAGCCACAGCAAGATGCTCGTTCTGAACCATATCTTAAAGTGGCGACTATTATCTAAGACTTCTTTGAGACTCAGCTTAAATAGCAGTTCTTCAGAGAGCCCCAAGATTGCAAGGTTTTCTTGGATGTGCTCTATGGAGTGGACACATTGTAACTTTCTAACTTTTATAGGACTAGGTCCACTCTGAAGGGCATACTTTAAAAATAAAATCCCTAAACATCAATATCACCTAATCCTGTGGAAGCCCACATTATTTTAGAAGGAACTGGTAGAAATCAATCAACGGGCAGAAGGTGAATGGCCCAAGCCCCGCGCGTTTCCCAGGAGAGCACTGACACCTCCTCCTCCTGCACTTGCACAGCTCTTGACACTTTCGTAAGCGTCGTTCTGGCCCTGCCTTTGCTCCTCTGCTTCTCTCCTTCTCCCAGTTGCTTTCACAGCCACATTGTCAAGTCACCGAATGAGTGCCGTCTCTGGACGGTATGGTGCACCCACGCATGAGGCTTTCAGCATGACGTGACTTGGAAATTCTGGCAGTTCGGCGTTGGCAAAAGGAGAGCAGAATATTCATCTAACTCATGAGAGAATAATTCAAGACTTTGCCTTTAAAGCCAAAACATCAGGGAGCCATTTCTAAATGAGGAAGGAATTCAACATTTCCCTGGCAGAATTCTCTCTCAGGGAGAGCCCCAAACAGCTAACACAGAAAACTTAAATATTTAATTCAAGGTGGTAGTTAAAATAGTGATTACTATTTTCCTAGTTAACATAAACAAAAGATGCTTAATATGGCCTAAGTGTTAGTCTGCTTTTATCCCAATATTTGTATATGAGTCTAACAGGCTACTCGAGTGATGAACTTTATAAAACATAATGAATTTGTTCACCTGTAAGAATAGACCAATTTCCATAGTGACATACAATCATATAAAAGATCATATGGATAATAAAAAAAGAGCAGGAATCCACCACCAATGCTGGGTATTTTCTGCTTCTTCCCCCGACCCTCAAATTCTTCATATGCATCCCAGGAGCTATTGGTCTCTCTTTGCACTTCCTGAAAAATACAAAACATCACCCTCTGACTGAAGACACCCAGCTCCATGTTTTAGTGCATTTGATCACAATGAAGATGTGTGCTGGAGCTTTTAGACTGGGGTAATTTAGAATAGCAGTATTCATGCCATATGGAAGAACAGTATTCTTTCAGTTCTGGGAGGGATCTCTTTTTAGCCTCTGGTGGAAATCAGCTTGTGTAAGAATGTTCTTTGGAACAGAAGGCGTGAAAGGATGCATCGTACTCCCAGCTGCCAGCCAAATCCACGGTTCGGTCACAGCGTTTGTTCACCTTCTGCAGACGAGCACTTGGGAAGCCTGACTTTTGGCTTCGTGGATGCCCTCCCACCACCTCAGCCTTTCCAGCTGTGGTGGAAATACATGAGCTCTAAGCATCCATGTTATCGGTGATAAGCATAACCAACTAACTTAAAGTAAGACCTATCCCTTTTGCTGCTGTTGAATGGAATGAGAGCGAGGGATTTCCAGTGAAATCATGAATAGAGCTGTGAATGTTTTTCTGTGTAGAGAGGAACAGAAATATGTGAGTTGTCCCATGGAGCGACCAAGTCCAAGGGCTTCACTGTGATCTGCTTGCAGGCACTGCTACTCTTTGACAGCGCTCCACAGAGCACAGCCATGCGGCCGCAGGGCCCTGCCTTCACTCTGCGGTGCTCACAGTCCAGTTAATGAAGGATGGGGTCCAGCCTGGACTGCTTCAGATCTTCATCATGGCTGCCCCCTTGACCAGGCCAACAGTCTTCCTACCTTATCTTACATTACCCTTAATTTTAAGCAGGGGCCAAAAATGCTCTCACAACCCTAAATGGCCTTTCATTTCCTAATCTTACTTCCTAACAGTTCCTGACCTTATTTCTAATGTGAGACTTTCAATAAAACACATTTTGTTATGTTGTCATTTAGTCAATGAGAATTTAGCACAGAATTTTTTGAAACAGAGCTAACCTAAAGTTGCAAATATCATCTTCCCATCTCTCCCATTAACAGCGTTGGAAATTGGGAAATTTGATCCCAGGAAACTGCAAATCCACGACCTCCCCTTCACAATCCTGATCTGTAGAAGCAGGTAAAAAAGATGAGGAAGGGCACACACTATGTTCCCTGAAATATTATTTGTAACCCTTTAAAAAAATAAAAATAGGCCCTGGCTGGTGTGGCTCAGTGGATTGAGCATGGGCCTGCAAAGCAAGGGATCACTGGTTCGATCCCCAGTCAGGGCACATGCCTGGGTTGCAGGCTGGGTCCCTAATAGGGGGCACAGGAGAGGCAACTCCACATTGCCATTTCTCTCCCTTTCTCCCTCCCTTCCCCTCTAGAAAGATAAATAAATAGAATCTTAAAAAATATATAAAAATAAAGACTTAGAATTAATTTAACCAGGGAACAGACTCTACCAGTGTTTAGATGGCACTTAGTAGCAACTGGGAAATCGAGAACAGATAAACACTTTTGTACACCAAGTACATTTTCTTGGAGTTTTGAGTTCTTTGGCAAAACTGTCTCTCAGAAACCACAGTTCAATCTTCTGGTTTGTTTTCTGAACCAAATGCCCTTGCAATCCTTGCTTTCTAACTTTGCAGTCAGCGTGGCACTCAGAAGAGGCCTCTGAGAGTATCAGAGTTTGCACAGTGGCATTCACACAGGCAAATGAGTGCTAGAAAGTAAACAAGAAACGTGTATCCAAGACACTCACATCACCCCCCAGATGGGGAATCTTAAAATATGTTCTACTTTTTATACATTGTGAATCCACATTCCAGACCCAGATTATGAGCAGAGGTTCTTAACCTTTAATTAATAAATACCTTTACAAAAGGCAATAAAACATCTTTTACCTCTAGGAAAAATGCATATAATCATAAATTTGGAAGTACTAGGGAAAAGCTTAGCCCCTTGAAATCCATTCAGGAGTCTCTGGTTAGGAAGTCTGCAGCCAGAGTCTTAAGAAAAGGTTTGGCTTGTACACCAGCCTCCTTAGCTGCCTCCACCCCTGACACTGCAGGGCTCCGCAAGGTCAGTCCTTCCTAACAGGCTTCCCCAGTGACCTCCGAACAGTGCAGAATTTTATCATGGGATTATCTCCTGTGACCTTGCCCTTGGTGGATTAACTCATGCACAGTATTATTACTCATAATGACTACCATTTTGCTGGGAGCATTTTTGGAGTGATGGTGGAAAATGCATCGCCATTTGCTGCATTCCATGCAGGACCGCCATGAGAACCAAGTAAAACAACACACATTTGTAAAACCCCATGAAACCGAAGGGGATCCTTGTGCATCACCCCCAAACTGTCTTGCTTTTGACGTACGATACAAAACTAGCACCTGACGTCGCGCTTCAGTGACCTTGTTGACCCCCTTTCTCATTCTATCATTTGGGGTTTTGAAAGCTCGGTTTATAAAGATTATAACATCCCGAGAAGTATTTTGTTAGAAATACTTCTAACTTCTAAATGCAAAATATACCAAATAAGCCAACCTTGGTGCCGTAATAACAGGTGACATTATCCACACTGTCCCCCACAGGTGTTCCTGACGTTGCTGGGACCCCTGCCCTTGCTGTCTGAGCTGAATCAGGCTGGGCCCCAAGTGAACACTGCATCTCCTTGCCTACTGGCGCTGCCCTGGACACACCTCCTATCACTGCAATCGTCTTTAGAAGCGTGGAAGGATATGTTCTCAAAAATCCCTGGCAAGATCAACCTCGGCTTTAAAAATGAATGTTATATACATAAGCTTTCTGATGAAAAATATATTTACAGAGCCACATTTGGTTCCATACTATTTCTAAGTCCTGGCTTGCTGAAATAGGCTTCTTCAGAAAGGAGAGTTTTGTAACCATTCTAGAGAGTGAGCAAGACCTTTCGAAGGTGAGAGAATTCAGGGGAAACAGATTCCAAAGGCAGCAGTCATGCACATTATATCTAAGACCTCACTTTAAATGACATGGGACAGGGATTCTCCAGAACATTTTCAGTGGAATATTCTCGTTGGTCATTTGCTGTGTAATGTTTTTAATGTTTAAAGGAAAATTCAGCACTTAATCTGGTGGGTCTCAGCCAAAGCCCTCGGCACAGCCCATTCTGCCTAACACCTTAAGGCCCCTGGAAAGCAAAGCAAAATGTGAAACAGAGAAGCTTCAGGTGATACAGCTAAGTATTTCCTAAATCAAAACAAAAAATACACCAAAAAACCCCCCAAAACAAAACACCCAAGTGAAATTATCCCTTGGAGGATTTGTAAAAGCTGTGGGTGACTATGAAGCAAAGCCAGAGGAGTCTGCCACTCCAGACATTAGATTTACAGACTTCCAGCACTGCCCTGGCTGTGTGAAATCGGTGGTGTTCACAGCAGCATCAAATCACTAAAGAGCTGAATGACAGATTTTACGAATGTCACATCCCACAAGGTAACAGGACTTCTGACTGAAAATATCACTTGAATTTATTTTTTAAACCTTTATAAAAAGAGAAATGACAAGGTTAGAGAATAAACCAACTTTATTTTATAACAGTATTACAGAAAGCAAAATATCATTTAATACAACTTGAAGCTGCTATAACCTAATCTGGCGTCATAACTATACATAGGGTCAAAAGCAAAGGACAACATGTTCAATACCATTAATACGTCCCTATCAGGTCTCCGGTGTCAGCTTTAATTGGTCTTTCTTTTAAGCGTCAGAACACCGCCACAGTCCCCACCTATTCCCCTCCCCAGTGTCCTCAAACCTGCGTGGACCGTCAAACGCTCTGAAAGACACAGACCTGCTCAGTGACAAAGGTCAGTCTTACATGTAGACAAGGAGGTTTAATACAGAGCAAGTGTTCTACCCAAACGTTCCGACAGTGGAAAGTATTGGAATATGGGTGTGTTAGGGAAGAAAGCACTAAGGTTTTAAGCTGCCTGAATATTTTAGTAGAAGGGAAGACATCGCCTTCTCTGTCCCCCCTCCTGGTCCTGGAATGCTGCCGGAGAGCACGCGTCCGGGGAGCGCGGGCCCTGTGGGGCGGCGGGTCTCTGAGCACAGTGCGTGGTCGGCGGCTGCCTCCCAATTCTCCAGTCAGGAGAGTCTCCGACTTTCTACTAACAGTAAAAAGTCGCAGGACTGGAAGTCAAAAAGGGTGCAATATAAAAAATATCCCCAGTAAATTTCTCAAACATTAGAAAATTTTCAAGATGTAAGAAATGCTTTTAATCTGTATTAATATGTTCTCATACAGTATATTTACTGCAATCTGAAAACTGTCAATATTTTCGGGAGTTCAGCGGGAAGAAGCTGGAAGAAGGAGAGCCACTACCTAAATTAGTCACAGAGTTTCCTTTCCGCACAACAGCACCTGTTCAAGCGAACAGCACCTGGCCAGCTGGGGCTGGCTTTGTTCACTATCATTGGATCAAAAATGAGTCATAAAAAGCAGGTAGTTGTACACAAAGTAAACAGGAGACAACAAAACTCTCTAATTAAAAAAAAAAAAGAAAAGGAAAAGAACCAAGCCATATTTAGAAGTGGTTATAAAACAAAAGAATATATTAAAATGCGAGGGAACGGTGCAGACCAGAGCTGTTAAGGTAAGGTTTGGTGCTGGCGTTTTAATTCTTCAGGCTTCTGGTCGTCGTTACCAGTCATAGTGTAAATTCGCTGGAGTAAGTGGTGTGGCGTTTGATTTGAAATGGTCAAAACTCTTCAGGTTCACAAAGTCGAATGTTGTTTGATAAATGACTTTCTAGAAGGAAAAAAAGAGACAAGGCTTAAATATTCCAAAGTCAGAGGCTTGAAAGAAAAATGTAAGTAACATTCATCAAATTCCAAACCAAACAACAGTTACTGACTAGTTCTATAGAACTGAAAAAATACTGCGTTCACCTGAAGATGCCGAAGGGCCCCAGCTCCACCCTCCAGACGGAGCATGTCTTGAGAACTGACAAGCACACTAGAAACAATCGGCAAGTAAGAAACCAAAACACAGAAAACAATAAAGACAGAGGTCCATTCACATAGTAAAAAAAGGGAAACAAATAGGTTTTAAAAGTAGAGTCAAGGGAGGAAGAAAAACAAAGTCAGTGCTGACTTCCGTGAAACGAACAGAAAGGGCACTTCAGGGGAGGAGCAGAGAGTGAGGCAAGAGGCCGGGAAGTGGGACCGCGCGTGGTGTGAAGACGGGCGCACAGAGGCACGCGCAGCGCTGAATGGGACGGGCAGGATGGAGAAGAAACGATGTCACCGGAGCCAAGTCACGGCATGCTGAGTACCTGAAGGTAAGGTAAAAAGTGAGGTCTATTGTTTAACATCAGACTGAGAAGTATGATCTTGATCTGATGGATGAAGAATGAATTCAGAAAGAACATTAGATAAAAAGACCAAATGTCAGTTCACTGCAATGATCCAGAGGAGCAGGTGAGAGGCAGCACTGACAGGTCCGAGGGCTGGGGGGTGGCGGGTTCACGAGGGGCATGTTCACGTGGGGCGTGGCCAGCCCGGGAGAAGAGGAGGCGGGGCTCACTCTCCTGTGGCTCTCAGCAAGTTCCAACACGGGCTGGGATTTTCAACATCGTGGCCTGACGTTTCGACATCACTGTGGCTTCAGTGTGATGAACGGGCTAAAGGCGGAGAGCGGGGAAGTCGGAACACCAGTCTGGGGGGCAGTGCAGCAGGGCAGGCTGCACGAGGAAGGTGACAGAGGTCAGGCATGACTGCTAGATGGCGAAAACCCAGATGGGAGTCGTTGCTGAAGGCACCGGGTGGAAGAGGGGATTTCGAGAGACACCACTGAAGGAGAGGACTCCGAGGCGGTGCATAGGGAAGGGCCCCAGAGAGCACCATGGGGTCTGCAGTCTGGAACCTCCAAACCAGAGGCCGGGGGGCAGCACACAGCCCCGAGCTGTCTCAGGGCCCGAGACAGAGATGTGCCTCACGTAAGTGTGACAGAAAATGAAAGACGTGAGTCTTGGGGGCCCATGATCAAAGGTAAGAAGGTCAGAGAAGGACTAAAATCGGAGTGGACTGGGAGGCGGACAAAATAAGGATGGTGAGTTGTCTCTGAATGAGAAAGGATTTAAGAAGATAACTGTTTCCTTTTGTATTTCAGCTGGATTGGAAGTTTTGGCAAAAGGTAGGTGATTATAGAGGATGGTAGAGAGTGCTAATTAAGGTCCTTTCTAAGGCCCACAGGTCCCAAATTAAGTCTTGTTTTAATGAAAAAAACCTCCTCGCCACGTATATTTATCACAGATATTATTATAACCTCGATTATTTAGGACAGATTGATTAATCAAATTCATTTTTCCCCACCCTGTTGTCTGCTTTAGGCTATTTCATTACTCATTAGTACTTCTGCTCGATTCTCGGCGGGGGAGAAAAATGAATGGAGAAAACACAAAGTCGTCTTTTTCTAAGTTGGTAATTACAAAAAGAAATGTGGGGGTGGTGAGGAGGGAATGGACCAAACTACCAATGGAACTGGACTCGGAAGTTATCTGTGGCCTCCAGTCACACTACCTAGCGATCTATTCTTTTTCTTCACCAGCTGTTAGCTCTGTGCTCTTTGCTTAGCAAACACACATTGTTTGCTGAACACAATGTCTAGCTTACACTATGGAAAATGAATCTCTGATATTAAGGTGCCAGGAGGCCTACAGACTGGACGAGGTTCGAGTCTCCATTGCCTTGGGGCTCCTTGTCACTTTATTTCATGGAATCTGTTTTCACTCAAAATTAAAATTTCAATTACTAAAATAAAGGTAAAATTAAGTCTGTTTAAAAGTCATTAGCAGACAAGCAGGAATCTAGCAGTGTGTTGGAATTGAATGAAAGACCTTGACCTCAAAGAGCTTCAACACTGACTGAAATACATTCCGAGAAAAAGACATAGTCATCCACATACATCCCAATATCATTTACTTTCATTTATTCACAATCAAACCACTAGAAAGTAAATAAATGCTTTCTGATAATAAGTATTGCAACTGATGTGTTCTTTGTATTCCAGATAAGGTTTCAGAATCAAAGAAAATTTCACTTATTGTAATTTTAATGTTAAATGCATTTTTTCTTGTTCTCTAAAAAACAGTAAATCAAATATAACTCTGAGTTAATGAGATATTCAGTGTTTCGGAACAGCCAGTTCCTTACTGTTCCAGATGAATAAAGAGTAACTTATCCTATGAAGTTTTTTATTTATACATCCACCTAGCTTTTTTTTTTTACTGCTTTTTACAGTTGAACACATATAAAAAACATATTCCCTAGTAGCAAGTATCTGACTTTTGAGCTGGGAAGGAGCAAAGATAAGGCTGAAATAGCACTAGCCATCTTTTTTTTCTTTTTCTAATTTTAATTGTTTTTCAATGATAGTTGTCTGTCTTTTACTCCCGTCCCAGCCCATCCACTCAGCCCTCCCCCTCCCTCCCATTTCCACCCCCCCCCCCGGTTTTTGTTCAGGTGTCTTTTATACTTGTTTCTGTAAACCCTTAGCACTAGCCATCTTAATTTGTGTTGTTTTGTCATGTATCTATGAGAAAAAAAAATAATCTGGCCATTCTAGACAGACTACAGTTTGGGTCTAAATGATTTATCATGTATCCCAATCCCAGTGAAAGCAAGGCACTCGCTCTTCACGTCCGAGCTGCACAGGTTTGGGAACTCGTTTTTTTTTTTAAAGCCTGAATGTTACCTCACATTCACAGAAATCTTGATATACACTGACAGGCATTAATTACTGGTATTAACTCAACTTGCTTCTACTTTTGACAACATCGTAACATTCACACCTGGAGTTCGGATAAGATCACGGCTATTAAGTACATGGATTATACACTCTCTGTATGTTAAAATTTAGTCAAACAAAATCCCAAAGCACTGTTTCCATGCTTCAGTGTCCCAGCCTTGGACTATACAATGTCAGTGAACATTTCTAACTACTACAGCGGCATTCCATAGCCTGTGTCCCCCTCTGCTGGCCAGTGTGAGAATAGGTTTGACACACTTGTGATTAAAAGGCTGTTTCATCAGATCGCAGGTCTCATCCTATGTCCAAACTCTTCAAGGATACATGCCAGTTACCTGCTTTGCTTTATGCCCTCGCTGTGGGTCCAGAGTGTTCTCAAAGTTACCTTTCTCAGGGTGCCATAATGAGCAATGGGGAACCAGTCAAGTTCAAGCACTGAAACCTCACCTGAAAAGCACAACCTTGGTCTCCAGAGAAAAGGGGCCCGCCCACATCGTGGTCTCAATCCTGAGTGTGCTCTACTCTAGAAATTGACTCAGTAAGTTGCAAATGTGCCCTTTTAAGAAAGTGTTTAACACAAACCACTCGAAACATTTCATTGCCTTTCAGCAGTAAAGAAAGATTCCCACAGGAGAGTCTCAGTAAAAAAATGGCAGACTGTGGTTTTTACACAAAATAATTAAAACAATGCAAGAAAATATAGCATTTCTTCAGATTAATGAAGATTCAATTACTAAAGGGCTGCAATATAAGCAGAGATTA